GGTCGGCTGGGGGCGGGGCGGGCGGGAGGACGGACGCTCGCTTGCGCGGGGCCGGGAGCCGCCGCCCCGTTTGCCTCGGTTCGACTCGCGCCCCAGCTGCTGCGCTGGCACCTGCAGGACTGCGGTGGTCTGGGCGGCCCGAAGCGCTGCGGAGACGAGCGGGGGAGGGGGCTCGGTCCGCCTTCCCTCAGCCGGGTTTGTTCGGTTCCATCTGGTGCAGTTCCACTATCCAGGCTGGACATGAAAAAAAAATTACAGAAGGAAACACGCTTTGTGCGTTTTCTTGACTAGTATTAATGTGTAGAAGGTGCCATCTGATCTTTGTACACTTCGTTTGTACAACAATGGCCAAGGGTTGTACAGTGCAAGAGTATATGTGGGAGACGGAAATTTTAGAAAGCATTTTTCTATCACAACTGGAGCTCTCCTTTCCGGCAAAAAATGAATACGGGTTATAACTTTGCAATGCTTATTTTGTGGGTCCTTCTGCCAAATGATTACAGCGATGGGTGTGTCCAGGAGGCAAGGTGACATCTTAAACAGGAGTTGGGGATCCCTGCCAACTGAAACCTCCAGTCTGATCTGTATGGGTGTGGGGAAGGGTTCACCTTGGATACCACTAGCGCTCATTTAAGTTTGGTGGATTTCTTCTCTTGATATTTTAAAGCTAGTCTGAATATTCATTTGTATGCTACCTGAATTTGCTCCCAAAGCGAAACAGGATGTACATTGTAGGTATGTTACCGATATTACGGATTGTGTAGTAATTTTAAAAAATTAGAAAGCAAGGTAAGATTAAAAATATCTCAGGAATGTGTAATTTATTTCTACTGTGGTTCCCAGCCCCAATAAGTTTTTATCGTTAATTGCATCATTGATGCATTGAGGATTTTTCGTTAAATCGACAAGTTAGCCTTTTTAGACTAACTAGGCGTCTGCTGAAAGAAAATGGTTTGGGGGGGATATTTTTACATTTTTGGAATATTTTATTGGAAGACTTTTATTGCCTCAAGATGATTTGAGGCCAGGGTGATTAAAACAATGTGATGCGATAGAAAATGTTGTGACTGTTAAATTATTCCATTAAGCTACAAGATCTGTATTAGTAGACTTAGAAAGCCGAAAGTCAAAGAATTTGCTTTGGCGCTATTGAAATACAGAAAGCTTCAGCTAGTACTTGTCTTTTGTGAAGGTCCTGAGTTTTATGAAGTTTTGTTTGTGTCGGAATGCTTTATGGTAAGTGCTGCTATTCTTTCAGAATTAAGATACTTTAAAAAACCCAAATAACTTACTGTTTTTGATATAGGTAAAAGAAATAACTTTTGTAATTGTAGAAAAAAAAATACATGAAGCCTTTGCTGGGAATGAACATTTAAGAATGAAGTGTAGCATTTGAGTTCACTTGAAAGCCCTTGGATTCTATATTTCTGATACAAATTTCAGATTTTTAAAAAATCACTTTATTACCCATTTCGAATGCTGTTTAGAAAATATATATATATAATGTTATATCAGATGGCTTATGTAATGCAGATTAGAGATTCTCAATATTTTAAAGATTCCCCCAACGGTGACCCCCCCCCCCCCCAAAAC